GTGTGCTGTGGAGTCTGATGGCCTGATCACACTCTAGCACTGCATTTCCAACACAAAAGCCTTTTCAATAACTCATTTTTAACTTAAGACAGATCCCAAGAACAGCAATCCCTCACAGAAGGGACAGAGAAATCCCTGAGTGACAAGCTGGAGTGCCCCAGCTTCCAAAGCCATGCAAGAGAGAGAACTGACTTACTTCTGGGGAGCCGGACAGTCACTGCCTATTTATCTGCCTGCTAAATGCTCTTTGTCTGGGGACTGCACACTTGGAATGCACACTCCAGTCCGTGCAGAGCAGCAGCTCCTAGAACACAGTAGCCCATTTCTCTCTCCAGATACGTTCTCTGAACAGCTGAAGAGCTCAAATACAGAAGCACACTCAGGAATACAGAACAGGACTGTAACCTTGGCTCTTTCTTTTCTCATCCACAGCATATTTCAAACTAGCTCTTAAAAACAAACCTATTCCTAGGCCTTGCTCCTTGTCAATGATGGTACCTCATGAGCATAGAGAACATAACCACAGCTCTTAAAACCCAAATTAGCTTCCCTCCCACAACTATATCCCAATCTTCCCTCAGCAATATTATTGCAACCTCACTGTCACTCTTATTCTCTGAGAGTTTTTTCTCCTCTCCAATTCCATCAATCCTCATAGAAAGAAACCACCAGAAAAACAAAACAAAAAAAACACTAAACAAAAAAAATCCCAAAGAAAAACCAAAAAACAAGCCACCAAACAACCAAAACCCTGCAGATTGCAGTAAACAACCTTTTTATAGCCATCCATATTCCTGCCTTCACTTCTCTTTATTCAGAAATAACACTTTTCATGCATTCAAGACAAACTACCATTGCTGAAGCAACATCAGTCCCCATTGCTGCTCTGCAATTCTGAAATCTGTCAAAAGTAAGTATCCAACTACATCTGACAGACATAACACACCTAGAACCAAACACAGAAAGCATTCCTGAACCAGGGAAATGCCCAATTTTGTTTCAGTCTTTTACCACACACAAGCCAGGGACAGAATTTTATCTGCTCATCATTTTCACTCTAAAACAGACACAGCCATTCTTGGCTCTAAGAGAAGACATGAAGCAAATCACAGAGAATTACCAAAGCACCACAGAAAGGTTAAGCATTAAGCATAAATAAAGTTGGTAATAGCAAGCACAGCAGATATTCAAATGCTTCTTTCAGAGACAATTTGGGCACAAAACAGTTAAACAACGTGCCCAAGATGAGCAGTAATCATTCCAGGTTAAAGCTTAGGACACAAGTTCTGGCTCCCAGCCTTGGACCTGGACTATCAGACCTTTGCATATCTTTGAATTACACCTGAAAGAACATTGATAGAGCTGCTTGACTCTTCTCCTTCTGCTGAGCAATTAAGCAAATTGACTGAATGAGTTCTGAAGTACAAACTCACTCCATTAGGCAAGTGTGCAGTTTGCAAAGGCAGTTCAAACTCACAACTCTCAGCTGCTCTAACTGCAGTTGCTATTATGTCACATTCTGAAGAACAGCAAAAGAGTATAACCAACAAAATCTTTGTAATCCTTTTCTATAATTATCCTCATAAAAGAAGCTTCCACTAAGAAAACACCAGAGTATTTCTGGACAATTAAGTCTCACTTGTACCGAAACTGTGATGGCACAAAAGAAAGAGATCTGTATATTACAGACACTTTTGATAACCTGATACTGAACTTATCACAAACAAGCACTCTGCATTCTCCACCCCAGAAGACCTGGCTATGAAAGTCAGTAAGGAGGAAAGCTCTTTCAGAGAGGCAGCACACACTACAGCAACCTTTGTCCTCATGCAACACACTGATAAATCACTAGAATCAATTAAAATTAAGGACCAGAGTTATAATGAAGCTGACACTGGTATTTCAATTTATAAGCTGATTTCTGTGTTTAACTGTGATCTGACACAGCCAGGCCACAGCTTACAAGCAAGGGTAAATTCCATACATGCCAAGGGAACAGAGGCTACTTCTGCCCCTCACATTCACATTTTCAGTAGAAAAACTTCACCACAGCAGTAACAGACGCAGGTCCCACATGCAAGTTCAGTGCCATCCTTCCCCAGGCTTTAGTGACACAATTTCCCCCCCTTCCCCTTCCATGTCACATCCATCCATCACACAGTGGTTCAAAAGCCAGAAAATTAAAGACTGTGTATCAGAGTTCATATTTCAGCCACCAAAGCCACCAAATATTGACTTTGTAACAACTAGCCAGCCTAGGGCAAGTATCTAAAGAACTACAGGTGATACATGTGATGGGAAGGCTGGAGGTCAGCTCGGGCCTGATCCATACTGGAAGCTACAGAATAGCATTTTTGACAGGCTTTTTAAAGTTGGTGCAACTGTTACTGTATTAAAAGCGTTACTGTCCAAAATGTTATTCTCCACGGGCCTGTTTTATAGACAAACACCACTGCAGGGAGACCCCTGAGTTTGTATCCCAGTGATTGATGCAATTAAATGATCTCATTTTCCTGGTTCTCTCTCCTTTGGTTTTGTTCAGGACAGCTTTCCAATGTAAATATTGCAACACTAAGTTACCAACAGAAGGAAAACAGAAAGTAAAACTCCCAATTCTTTACATTTGTTTTCAGTGAAAGTTCAACATTCCACAACTAACTGCTGTTTAGATTTTGAGCTCTGTAGCCGTTCCAAACTCAGACCTTCACAGCCTTGCACACAAACTGGTGCCGTGCTCACCACAGGTGTGCCTGGAGTGCAGATCTGTTCTCTGGCAGCCCACAGTGGTTCCAGAGTCATTACAGCTTGAGACAGGAAGATTTCCTTTAGCTTTCTCTGTGGGCCTGCCCCAAGAAAGCAGAAGGAAAGGCAGGGAACAAAAAAGGTCCTCAGACTGCACTTGGACCCACCATCAGTTTGGCATTGGACATTCCAACAGACCAGAAGCTGCTGCTCCAGTTGGTGCAAGAACCTCACAAGGCTCCATGTCTGTGTGAAGTGAACCTTAAAGCCAGAAATATTGCTAGGAAATGGAAAAATGCAACCATCCTGATACATAATGCTTCCAACAGAATTACAGCAAGACACTGTGATGTACAACAAGAAATCAATAGACACAACTGCTTTCACCAACTTCCAGTAGGGACTGTGGGAGCCAGACACACGGGAGTAGCAGAATTTCAGCTCCACACAGGAATTACAGCCAAGCACAACATCAACAACACTTGGGATCTCTCCCTGGGCAGCTCAGTTTCACAGCACCTTGCAGTATAACACACTTTGGACCTCAAGACTCATCCAAAGTCAGGTATAGCTGACAATGAAACAAAATTTCTCTTCACTCTTTGAGTCACAGAATCAGAAGGCTACACTGTCTATAAACCAAAAATGGGACATTGTTACAGTGTTTTGGAAACCAAACTGCCTGGCCTGCTGAAACTGAAGCCAGTTAATTCTCTCCAAGGCTTCCCTGCAGTCCCCCCCAGGATTGCAGCAGTGCCCAGGGCAGCCCCAGCCTGGCAGAGGCACAAGGCTGGCAGGGCACCTTTGCTAACACACTAAGGGCAACACTTCAAAACAGCTCAGTCTGTCCTTCCTATTTCCTCACTTCTGCATTTCCAGATCCCTGTAAAGGCTTTTTCCTATACCTATATATAAGTTCACTACTACTAGAAGCATATCAACATCTATCTTAATGAAGAATTATTTGCAAGCATCACAACTTCACCATAACCACAACTTCTGCAATACTTGCAGAAGGATTATTAAGGATTTTGTTTGATATGTAAATAAAACAAAGATTACAGAACTTTAAATCTGTCAGGGGAAAAATTATACCACATTTAACAGTACTTTTGAGTTCAAGCTTTAAAATCTACTTCCTGAAGAATTTAAAATTAAACTTGAAATTGAAATAGATTTCTCATTTCCAAAAAATATATTCCAACTTGCAAACAACAGAAGCCTCGGGGCATAGTTTGCCACATGCTGCAGCTAATAAATAAAAACAATTCAGTTCTGTTTATACCCTTATTTTCTTTTGGCCTTTGCAAGCTACTCTGAACCATATGTCAAGCAGAGAAATAGTGGAAACTGTAGTTACTGCTTTTCTAAATATAAGACTCATCTCACTTGTATGCCAGAGCATTCAAGATATGCAAGAAAAAGAAAAAAACCCAGGAATTACATAAGTGGCAAGGCCAACTGCTTGCAAAAGACAACTTTTAACTCATGAACTTAAAGGCTGCTTGGTGCCAACAGGACTTTATGGCCAAAGAAATCCATAAGTCAGGGGATCTTTCCTCGAGGACAATCACAGCAGAGATTCTGCTCTCCAGCACAGAGAAAAGCACTATTCCTCCAATGATCCCTATTCCTCCAATGATCCCAAATCCAAGGAAAAAAAAAATTAAAAAATCAAACAGTGCAGTTTTTGCAGTGAAATTCAGAGGCAGCCATCTTAGTGTAACATGACACTTGTCACTGCCAGCTTGGAAAAGTTTCAGACAATTTCCAGTATTATTATTTCAAAGCCAAAGCTGCTCCTCATGTATTAAGCAGGCATGCACAAATATTCAGATTTCTTCTGCCTCTTGTTAATGGGAGCTAGAAAGATTGGGGTAATTACTTCATCTAGTACTTAGATCTTCAAAGAGCACAAATGTTAATTCTAGCAACACCTCCTTGAGGAATTAAAGCATCACAATCCCCATTTTGCAGATTAAGAAAAAACACAAATCAAAAGCCAAAAAATCTGAAAAATATGAACAATCTTAGAAAACAATTCCAGCAAAAAAAAGTCAGGAAGCCTGAACTTTTTTACAAGAGTGTTGAATGATACTTTCAAAGCACAGTTTAAACCTGAATCTGGATATGGGAATGCACAGGAAATGTCCCTTTGCTTTGCTCAACGTGCACTCAGCGGCACTGGGATACATCCACATCTCCCCACCTAAGAAATGGTTAAAAAGTCAGAAAACAGTAAAAAATATTACTCTTACCTTCTGCTACATCATCATCTACAGCGCCTTTCACCTGAGAAAAACACCACTGAATGTCATTTCCTCCTCCAGCTCCTAAAAAAATGAAAACAATTCAATAAAACGAGCCCCCCCAAGAGCAGCAGCACAAGCACACAATGGTTCCAGATTGCACATTTCAGAGCCTGTGCACGCCCACTTCCTCAGCAGGGCCGAGGCACAATCACACACCACCCTCCCCACCTTTTTCCTTTGGATATTGTTTTTGTCAGCCTTCAATGCAGGGTTTGTCAAAAACAGGGAAGCACAAGCAGAGTAAAAGCTTCACTCAACCAAAGCTCGCTGGACTGAGCAACATTAACTGAATTTAAAATTCAAGTGCACTATCGGCTGTGTTTCACACAAAGCTTTGAGCAGTCAGAACCCCCCAAACACACACACAAACGACTTAAATAGAAACTCTCAGAGCTGTGCTTTTTTAGAAAATTTCAATCTCCCAGCCAATACAAACCAAGCACACAACTCATCTCCTCCTTTCACTAACCCGCTGCGCCGACCCTATGCACTCAAGGCTAAAGAAAAAGAATTTTACCACAATTTTAGAGTTTCTTCGCAGAAGTAATGAAAGCAATTAGCAGCCTAAAAAAAAAAGCAGCAAATCCGAGCAGAAAAGCAAACAAGCAATCGGAGGAGGACAAGTTCTACTACCGTAGAAAACGGATCGGAGAGAAAACTTCAGGAACATTACTGCCTCGGCTGAAGGCAGTGATTCATTTGAACCGTGCCACCAAAACACACACCAAAAATCACCACCCATTTCTTTTGCATTTCATTCTGAGCAAATCACTGCAGGGCTGAGGACATACAGGAAGAGCCAGAAATGGGCTTGCCTCAGTTGTTTTTTTTTTCGTTTTTTTTTTTTTCCTCCAAAAGCCACTGTCAAAATGGAACTTTTCCTCCACACAACTCAAACCGGCTGAGCAACAGATGGCATTTACACATTAATCCCAAGCTCTGGTAGGGCTTTGGAGATAACAAAGAATGCAGGAGGAGACTCTTCCCAAGTTAAGGGAGTCAAAAAAACTCAAAGAGAAAGAAATCAGAAGCCTGAAAATAATCTTTCCAGAAAAGATGAAGCGCCTCAGAATAAGAAGTCCTGGAATAGAGTACAGTTTGCATTTTTCACTTGCTATAAATTCTTCCCTGAAGGATTACATCCAGCTGCATAACCTGAGGAGGTGAAGGCAAGCAACAGAACCAAGTTATGCAGGAGATGGCAAAATGCTTCCCCTCCCCCATCATTCCCCCAAAATCCTACAACACATTCTCTTCGCTTCAACTTCTTCATTTGTCATTTAGCAGCCAGCACCACAGCAGCACTTAAAGGGAACAGCTTGGAGAGAATCACTGCTCCTGCTACTTCCAGCTCAAGCCCTCTTTTCCATACAATTTACATGAACTAAGTTGGCACTTTTTTCCCCCCACGACTAAAACGGCAAGAGGAGGGTGGAGCATGTGCATATGGTGTAGGGGGGAAAGGCAAAGCACAAGCCTCACAAAGCCTCCTATGCTTTGCTCCTCCACATGCAAAGCACTGAAAAGACAATTCATGTGCAGAGGAGGGGGATGAATAAATTTCCAAATGAAGAAATTGCAAGGAAGAGTAAGAGGGAAGAGATCCATTCTGCACACACACTCCCAAGCCCAAAAACTTCGGGATGTGAAATGGGGAGCAAGCAGTGGAAAGAATGGCAAAGAAAACACAGCGAGACCTGTGCTGTTTAATTACACCCTGTGCCAAATTTTACTGGCATTTGCAGATGCTCAGAGGCTGCTCCCTACAGAAGGGTGCGACTGCAATCTGGACACCGCCTGCACCTGGAACCTCTCCGTGCACGGCAGCACTTCTGAGAAATAACCACAAGCACCGACCCCAAAGCCTCAAGGGGGAAACTCTTCACCAGAGCGTGTAGTGACAGCACAGGGGGGGAATGGGCTCAAACTCAAAGAGTAGGTTGAGCTGGGATATTGCGAAGTAATTCTGCTCTGTGAGGGTGGGCAGGCCCTGGCACAGGGTGCCCAGAGCAGCTGTGGCTGCCCCTGGATCCCTGGAAGTGTCCAAGGCCAGGCTGGACGGGGCTTGGAGCACCCTGGGATAGTGGAAGGTGTCCCTGCCCATGCCAGGGGTGTGGAACTGGACAGGTTTTAAGGTCCCTTCGCACCCAAATCATTCCATGATTCCACGAAGAGGCAGCAGACCCACCCTGCCTGCAAGCTCTTCAACTCCAAAACACACCACTTCCCGCTCCACCTTGCTTCTTCCATGCTTTTTTTTTTTTTTCCCCCGAGAACGGAGGGAAGGAGGGGTGGGTGGGAGCAAAGCACGATTTCCCACAAGAGAGGATAAAAAAACCCACCCCACAACCAGCAAGGCGCAAGCGAGTCGGAATAGGAGAGGCGGCCGGGAGCCAGGGAGGCAGCGGGGAGAGCCCCCCGAGCCACGCCGGGGCA